CCCCACCCCCGTGGCTGAGCTGCTCCCACAGCCGAGCAGTCGAGCGTGTGAACTGGCTGCGCTGGCAGCACTGATTCACTGGGCACCGCTCCCCGAGGGGATCCCCTTGGCACATGCTGTGCCAGAACGGGCAGAGCGGGTCTCAGGCCGGGAGCAGCTCTGTGCTCCTGCAAGGTGCTCGCTGGTGGAGGTGGCTGGTGGAGCACTGAGTGACGCAGGGCCAGGACCGCGCCTGGTGCTCGGCACACAGCTTGGGGCACGGCCCAACACGGCAGAGCATCACCCCCTTCCCTTCACTGAGAGGAGAACGGGGTGCGTGGAGGGCCCAGCGTGGCCGTGGCACAAGGCTGCCGACGGAGGGTCCCACGGGGCAGAGCAAGGTCTGGCTCCTCTGGTGGTGGGACCCAGTCTGGAGCCCAGAGAAGGACAATGTAGAGTCACCCCCCATCAGTCTTCCCTCCCGTCAGCCCTTCGCCCTGCTGCCTCCATTGCTGCCTCCCCCTTCTCCAGCGGAAGGGGACAAGGCCGTGCTGCCCGTCTCTCCTCCATCCTGCCAGCAGCCTGGGATCAAACGGGGTGAGCATCACCCATCACCCCCCGGCCGCGGCTTGGCCCGCTGGCGATGGCTCAATGCCCTGAGTCTGCCCGGGGGGTTTCCATTGCACACATCCCGAGAAGTTTCCTTTCATGGTAACAGATCTAGGATCGCTTTTTTCCCAGATAATGTGGGGGGGCTGCCGGGACATGTCCTGGCAGATGATAGAGAAGCAGCAGCTGAGATAGAAACAAAGAGCATATTTCACTCCACACCTTGATGTATTTGTTATTCGTTTTGGTGGTGTGCAAACTTACAGAGCAAAGCTGGCAGCAAGGGCAGAGCCTGTGCCTGCCATTCCTTACGGGCAGGACATCTCTCCCAGGGCTGCATCCTTCAGCTCCTTTCTACTGAGCCGTGAATTGCTGTGAAAGGCACTGGGGAGAAGCTGGCCCAGGGGGAAACCCAGTGAATCCTAATTAGCTCTTATTCATGGCATTAAAGCACAATTAAGTGCTATTGTCAGAGGCAAAGGCAACATCCTGACCCCAGCCGTTTCACCCCAGCCCTCACCGCACTGGGATACCGTGAGCGCTGCGTGTCCACCCCTAACGTGTAATTTCCCCTCCCTTCCTATGCCGACCGGAGCTGTACGGATCATTCTTTCCCCCTGCAGCACACCTGAGGGAGAGATAGCATCTCTGGCACGGCATGCTCCTGCTGGAACAGACCCTGATACCATCTCCTGAACATAATGATGCGTTTTTGTTTTTTTGTTTTTTTTTTTTTATCTCAAGGGAATTTATTGTGGGGGAGTGTTTCAGGAGAGCCTGGGAGATTGAATTCTTCTGGTAACATGGAAGAGCTGCAGTGGTGCGTTCTGCTCTGCAGAATCGTGTCCCGTCGACGGAGCCGGCGCGAGGGGAACTTTGTGCTAAGGGTTCCTCTTGGAAGAGTGGGGCCAGTTTGGGGATGACGGGTCAGGAGCTCAGGCCGAGGTCAGGGCAGCAGCTGACTGGCAAGAACGTTGATCAGAAAAGACCAGAAAAAGCTGATAACACAGGACAATCCCCAGATCCCTCTTAGGCTCCTGTGCCAGCTGTAATAAAAGAGCTTAAATATCGGCTGAGGTCGTGATAATACAGAACGACGGGCCCTAAACGTGGGCATTTCCTGCCCATGAGGCTGTGGCAGGGCTTTGCCTCGTCTGATTGTCACCTTCGGGCTGACTCATAACTTGGCCTAAAACATGGGGGTGACCTGAGCAGGGGTCGGAGCTCCCGGCACAGTTTTTGGCCCGCACGAGGGGCTCCTGGCCAACGCGGGGATCACCTGGAGCAGGAGGGTGTTTGCTGGAGCAAAGCGAGTGCACCTGGCGGAGCTGGGAGCAGGGGTGGCCGACGCACGGCTCTGAGCACAGCTCCCACACGACGGCTGTTGGGTAATCCGGCACCCCCCGCCACGGAGGGCAGCGGGCCAGCAGGAACGCTGATCCCCACCCTGCTGGGATGCCCCAGGACTGACGCCGGCTGAGCACCGCCATCCGCACGCTCTGCCCTTTGCCAGCGGTGGGTGGCTCCCAGGCCCCCTGCTTTCCCCCGCTCTCGGAGGGACGGGGCACGCGTGCATCCCAAACCCCTGGATTTTGCTGCCTGGGGAGTAAAAATGCCAATCTGAAGGCAATCGGCTCTCGGGCAGTGCTGCCCAGAGATAGAGCCCTCGACTAAGAGGATCTGGAGGCTGTTTCTGGTTAAGCTGCTTCCTTGGTGGCCGCCCAGAAAAATCACACCACCGCTCCCGGAGCTGCTAAAGAAAGAGAACGTGACTCCCTATTAAGTCCTTGAGATCTAACAGCGATGCAGATAAAGCCTTGTTGTTATTGTGTCCTTCAGGGAAGAGATGAAAGAAAGGAGGCACTCTGAATTACCGAGGGTGAGGCTCTGGGAACGTTTTAGCAACTCCAAAATCAGTTAAGTGCATTAGAACGTGAAAACAGCCAGAGGGGCCTGGGGAAGGAAGGAGATCACCCCAGGAGAGAAAGCACAAAAGGGTTCCTAATCCCTATAACCCTCTTTCACTACCTCACAGACACCTCTGCTAAAAGGAAAAATAACTTCTCTTATCCGAAATGACATCGCTGGAGCCAGGCTGGCCAGCAGGTTGGGTGTGCGATTTTCCACTGTACAATGCAAGACCTGGCGCCACATCAGTAAAGGGATTTTTTTTTTTTCCCAACAAAGGATAAAACAGTGCAGTGTCTCCATTCTTGGTTCTCTGCTGCTTTTTTCAGGGTAATACCTGTCCAGCTGCATTACTGTGATCGCTGTGCTCAATCCCTTCATAGCACGAGGCAGGTGTGGCCATCGGGGTGGCTGCGTTGCCTCATCTCCAGACGTCTCTCCTGGGTTGTCCTGTTCAAACCCTCTGCCTGGCGGGGGGTCGCAGCGTTCCCGCTCCTCGCTGCCGACCTGCCCGTCGGGACGTGTGATAGAAGCACTGCTGGTCCCGCTGAGTTACGTTAGCGTTGTGTCTTGCAGCTGCAGATGTGTAGGAAGCAGCACATCTGCACGCAGGCATAAGCATGGATAGGGATTGATCACACTCCTCCTCTCAGGAATTGTGCGTAACGTGTCCCGGCACTGGGTGTCTAATGCAGCTTCAATTCTTTTTCTCTGATTTATTTAAGTGTTAAAACCTGCCTCAGCAACGAGACAGAAGAAATTGTGGCACAGAAGTTTTTAGCTTCTACAAAGCTCTTAGAAGTCACAGGCTGCTCCTGTGGAGTTTGTGGAAGGGGATGCAGCAGAGCAGGTGCCACTGGGAACCACCAGGCATCTGCCTTGCAAACTGCCTGAAAACCCACTGCTGTGGGGACTTTCCAGCCTCTGCAGGGAGATTCACCCCAGACCGGTACGTAAGCAGAAATTACTGGAGTTTCTTTTCTTTTGAGCTACAAGATTTCTGCCAAATACGGTATCAGCCCACAAACACCGCCAGGTCTGTGCTTGTCCTGGGACAGAGGTCCTGACGGGAAGATTTCCATCTGGCTTTGGGTCGGCCCATATAAAGATTATGGATGCGCAGAGCTCTGAAGTCAGCAGCTTTCGTTGGCTTTAGACTCTTTAAAAAAGCAAATAAATAGATTTGTAGATTTTTAATGATATAAGACACTTGCGGGCGACTTGGCACATCACAGAGGATTCTCTGGTGTTGCTTCACGGAGCAGCAGCGGGTGGAGCTGGAGCGAGCACCGGCGTCTCAGGTGCAACGGCGAGACGCGAAAACGTAGCCCTGAGCGAGGAGCTTCGGTCTGAATCACGCCGGTGCTGGGAACCGGAGTGGAAGGAGAAGATCCCGCGTGTGCCGCAGTGCTTCTGGTGGGATGTGACAACAGACGTGAAACTGGGGAGAGAAAAATGATGATTCTGGAATTTGGCTCTGGCTGTCAGGGGTGACGAAAAGCGCCGGCAACGCCTCCTGCCCGGGCTATAAAGGGCCCCGAGCCGGGGGGAAGCGGCACTCGCTGCCGGGACTGCCGAGCCGGTGCCTCTCTACAGCCCTCCAGCCTCCGCCAGCCTTCG